TGAACCGGTGTGAAAACAGCACGCCAAACATAGCAACCCGTTTTACCGAAGACATCCGAGTATAGGCTAAAGTCGGTTTTACACGATCATTTTTAGGTAAAATAAAAAGTTTAACCCCACATAAACGAAAATCCTCACGTACAAACGAGATTGTACTCCGCGGATCTGATGACTATAAAATATACCTATAATTACTCCCTATGAGATAGCGTGCCCAGATTTTCTTGTAGTCATTTCCTAAGGACGCTTTTAGCCACCGCCTAAAGAAAAAAATTCGCCACAAGTAAACGCGAATGTGCTCCACGTATCTGACTACTGCTAATTGTATCTAAAATTATTCTCTATAAGATAGCGTGGCCAGATCTTGTTGTACTCATTTCCTAAAGACGGTTTTAGCCACCCCTAAACGAAAAAATTCGCCACAAGTAAACGCAAAGGTGCTCCGCTTATCTGACTACTGCTAATTGTACATAAAATTACCCTCTACAAGATAGCGTGGCCAGATTTTGTTGCACTCATTTCCTAAAGACGGTTTTAGTCACACCCAAACTTAAAAAATTCGCCACAAGTAAACGCAAATGTGCTCTGACTACTTAAAATTGTATCTGAAATTATTTTAATTTTGATTACTTTAAATATGAGGACATGGAACTTTTTCACAAATGTGATAAAGATTTTAAAATGGACCTGGAACTGTTCGAAATTAAGAAACACTGACAATGAATTCTTTAATTACCAAACAGATCAGGTCATAATAAACTTATTATCGTTGTGCGCTGTCTCTTGTGCGCATCTATCCATCGGCATCGTAAATTTTTATTTTGTTTCTGTGGTATGTTTTACATTATTTCGGTTTTTATTTTTTGTGCTTTATTTTATTAGCTAATTTTGTCTCTATTGACAAATTACAGCTATTCCTTGGTTATTATTTGTTTCATACTCGTATATTAGGTTTTACTTTACTTACTTAACTTCTGCACAAATCACGTGTTTTTCTTGATTGACGGGAAAACCGTCTTTAGGATATGAGTGCAACAAGATCTGGCCACGCTATCTTATAGAGAATAATTTTAGATACAATTAGCAGTAGTCAGATACGTGGAGCACTTTTCCGTTTACTTGTGGCGAATTTTTTTCGTTTGAGGGTGGGAAAACCGTCTTTAGGAAATGAGTGCCACAAAATCTGGTCACGCCAACTTGTAGAGGATCATTTTATGTCCAATTAGCAGTAGTCAGATATGCGGAGCACATTTGCGTTTACTTGTGGCAAATTTTTTTCGTTTGGGGGTGGTAAAACCGTCTTTAGGAAATGAGTGCAACAAAATCTGGCCTCGCTATCTTGTACAGGGTAATTTTATGTGCAATTAGCAGTAGTCAGATACGCGGAGCACATTTGCGTTTAATTGTGGCGATTTTTTTTTGTTTGGGGGTGGCAAAACCGTCTTTAGGAAATGAGTGCAACAAAATCTGGCCACGCTATCTTGTAGAGGGTAATTTTATGTACAATCAGCAGTAGTCAGATAAGCGGAGCACTTTTGCGTTTACTTGTGGCAAATTTTTTTCGTTTGGGGGTGGTAAAACCGTCTTTAGGAAATGAGTGCAACAAAATCTGGCCTCGCTATCTTCTAGAGGGTAGTTTTATGTGCAATTAGCAGTAGTCAGATACGCGGAGAACATTTGCGTTTACTTGTGGCAAATTTTTTTCGTTTGGGGGTGGCAAAACCGTCTTTAGGAAATGAGTGCAACAAAATCTGGCCACGCTACCTTGTAGAGGGTAATTTTATGTACAATTAGCAGTAGTCAGATAAGCGGAGCACTTTTGCGTTTACTTGTGGCGAATTTTTTTCGTTCAGGGGTGGCTAAAACCGTCTTTAGGAAATGAGTGCAACAAGATCTGGCCACGCTATCTTATAGAGAATAATTTTAGATACAATTAGCAGTAGTCAGATACGCGGAGCACATTCGCGTTTACTTGTGGCGAATTTTTTTCTTTAGGGGGTGGCTAAAAGCGTCCTTAGGAAATAACTACAAGAAAATTTGGGCACGCTATCTCATAGGGAGTAATTATAGGTATATTTTACAGTCATTAGATCGGCGGAGTACAATCTCGTTTACACGTGAGGATTTTTTTTCTTGGGGGTGGCTAAAAGCGTCTTTAGGAAATGACCACAACAAAACCTGACCACTCTATTTCATAAGGGGTAGTTTTAGATACACTTTACATTAGTCGGATTCGTGGAGCACATTCTCGTTTATGTGGGGTTATACTTTTTATTTTACCTAAAAATGATCGTGTAAAACCGACTTTAGCGTATATTCGGATGTCTTCGGTAAAACGGGTTGCTATGTTTGGCGTGCTGTTTTCACACCGGTTCTTTGTGATAGGCGCAATATTAAGACTGCTCATCACTTCTTCCCACTCATGGACACTTATTTTTACACTGTGATCGTGATTTTGGGTGTATTAAACGTCTTGTTCGAAGAGTAGATAGAGTTTACACATCAAGTCAGTACACTGAGATAATTCTTAAATCAAGTAAAAGACGGCGCTTTGCTGTTCACCAAGTAACAAACGAGATGATCTATAGTTTTAATACTTGGTGGCCTCAGTTTTATAAGGGGATAAAAGAAAACTCACCAAGGAAAAGTGGTTGCTAAGCAGTTTACGACGGTTTCACCTTCTCAACGATCACACTGAAAAAATATAGTACTGTTCTGGAGCTCCCTACAGTGCTAGCATGTCCATCTATAAAGCTTCCCATCAATATAAAGAAAATCAACGACCTGAAGAAGTTGGCCAAGTACACTACAGAGTATGAAGATTTTTACAACGACATCCTCCAGTGGACTACAACAGAAGCTGAGTGTAACGGAGACAGTGCGTATGAGGATGAACAAATTGAACACACAAATAACGGTAACATAAAGACGGTAGTTCTTGATGTTCTACTGTTGATAGTGATTTTAAGTTTAATAGATTTAACCACAAAAATTGTGATTCTCTCTTTAGTTTTTTGTTCTTTGTTTGAAATCAAACTGATTGTTTGATTTTTATCTTTGATATTTAATAAATTTAAGTATAAAGTATAAGGTGTTCCTATTTAACGCCCCACTACTTTTCAAAACAGTATAATTTTACTAAAAATATATATTTTTTTGAGAAAAGTTATTTTATTGCAGAAACCCGTAAAGTACAAAATTTTTTATAAATTTCTTATGAATAGAGTATAATTTTAAAAATTAAATACAAGCATTGTTTGTTTTTAGGAGATATTGAGAAACACTATTAATTTTTTCGAGGCAAAGACCTAGAGTACTATTAAAAGTAGAAAGTTTTTTTGTTTTCCGGAAATTTTTTACGAAAATGTAGTTGACCTGAGTTTGCAACAAAAGGTGTTGCTGAGCAATTTCATAGCAATATGTGTAGCATTTCAATACCTCTAGGTTTACACAAAATTTTACCAAAGTGGAATTTTTGAAATTTCATTGTGTTTTTTGCAAAGTTAAAGAGTACTACTTAAAGAGTAGATAACATGTTTAGTTTTTAATCCCATTTTTGCCGTGGTTTAATCGAAATAGGTATAGGAGGACAATTGTCCAAAAGAATAACGTTGCCCAAAAAAATAAGTGATGCACATGTAATTTACTAAAACGTATTGAAGAGATTTTTGTTGTTAAAATTTTTACATGTATCTTTTAGGAAATGAGTATAGAGGAGGGTCGATTGTTCAAATAACAACTTGACGAGTTCTGTGTTGACCCTCCTACTTAGGTTAGGGGTTGGTGTCCAGGAACTGTTGTGTTTTAATTTAGTTTCACTAGAATTGGTGGAGTTGGATTGGTTAACTTTCGATAGAAAATGGGAGCATTATTATGGTTCATTTGCTTAAAAAAATTGATTTAGCGTATTTTATTAACAAATTTTATACCAATTTCTTTTAAATCTATATTTAATGTGCTCTACTTTATCAAGATGTAGTAGTTTTGTGTATGAAGAGCGGTTGGTAAAACGTGCGCACGCCCGATCAAGCAAGAGGGCAGATTTTCAAGAGCCCATTGTGGGTCCCGCAAGTTCTGAAAACCAGCTGTCGCCGGCGTCACTAACGCCGGTTGGTCGATCGACGTCACAAAACGCTCTATCTAGCGTTGAGTGGACGCCGCTCTGCAAAAGCGCCCCTTTTCAAACGACCCTTCAAAAAAACGCGAGCGCACAAAAAAAATCGGGCGCTGCGCACCGGAGTAATTGGTTACTGTATTTTTTACACGATCCCCAACTGGTCCGGATTCGATATCGCTTGAAGATACCGAACAAAAACTCTCGGAGGAAACCGGGAGGTTGGGACGTTAAATATTTACGGCCGATTTAACGGATAAGTACTTTCCGTTTGTTTGTTTTAACAAACTGCTGTGTTGGGAAGGAAATCAGTGATTGTCGAGTTGAAGAAGGAGATAATAATATCGACCCCAATTGACACTAAATGTATCAGATGTTTTTAAGCAGTTAGTTCTGTTTTAGTTGATATGCAAAAGATATTAAAACTTAAATATTTTTTTAACAAAAATCTCTTTACTTTAGAAAAGATTCAAAATTAAGATTTAGATCCAAATTAGATTTGTAACCTGAAAAATAGTTAAATAAAGTGGTTAACTTTATACAGTTGGGGGATGATATAAAATTCGAATTAAACCCAAAGTTAAATATTGATCTTAGGTTTCCGAGTACACATAACTCTGTAGCGACTGAGCAATTAATTTTGGGTGGGCACTCCGTCTGCCTCTGAAGTCATGATTAAATTAGCGACCGTGAATTTATGGCCGCGGCGAACGAAAGCGGAGTTCGGTTTCATTAGGGAAGGAGTTTTTAATTGGAATTAAATTCGACATCGCATTTGATAGGCCGACAGAAGCGCGAACATTAAGAACAGCGCCCCACGACGAATAATTAAATATAGGTACCTACTACTAGTTCGTTGACGATGAATATGTTTTAAAGAACTCACCTGCGTTGGCGTTAAATGAATTAAGGATGCCAAGTGTTCTCTTTCGGGGGCTGATAGATATTTTTGTTGTTTGAATCGCCTTTCTAGTTCATAAACCTGAAAATTTAAAAAAAGAGAATTACAATCATAACTGGATGTATTCTTTACATTTTATCTACAATATTTATTCAAAAACTCACTTAAAAAAAATTAATTATATTAAAATTCCCATTCGCACTGTATAACACATAATTAAATTTTAATTTCACTGTTAATATACGGGATTGGTAATCCGTCGGTAAAGTAGAAGAAAAATTTTTGGTCGAACGTAGACGAAATTTAGCTGCACTGGCGATCGTGGACCCCCGAGGGTCTTCGATAGGTCGGGGGCGCGCGGTTTTAGGCGTGGCCTTACCTGTGCTTGAGTGAAGAGGACCCGCCTCTTCCGGCGTTGTGCCAGGGGGAATTGCATGGGTTTTGAGTCCGGTACTGCGCAAGCGCCCAGGCCGGGCATTCCCGTGTTGAGACCGTGCCCCATGTTCGCCGCCGAGGCCGTGCTGCCCATCAGCCTGGAAACTACGAACAGAGAGAAAAAGAAACAAATTATTCGACAGGAATATTCCAGCTTGGAAAATTATAAATAGAATAGGTATTTTCTATTGCAACAACCACTAAAGTTTATAGTGTGTTTTCGTTGATAATAAACTTTCTATTTGGTATACAGGCTGTCCGGTATCTTCCGCATCAAAGCATTATACGGTTGTAGGATACATTAATCTGAAGCGATCTTTCTAATAAACTTTTTTCGAAATGTTTATAATAACCGCACGGGAACTGTTTAACGACGACCAATAACGAACGACTTTGAATCATCGAAAAAGTTTATTTCTCTTTCCATGACGAATCTATTGGTGAGTACACGTGGGAAACAGTTCCCGTGCGGTTATTATAAACATTTCGAAAAAATTTTATTGGCAAGATCGCTTCAGAATAATGTATCCTACAACCGTATAATGCTCTGATGCGGAAGATACCGGACACGCTGTATACAACTACAATTTAGTCTTCAAGAACTATGTAAAACAGACTTATCTAGAATGGAATTAAAAGAACAGAGATTATAGCACCAAAGGTGAGAAGGTATTTAAAGTCCAGAATGTTACTTTTGCTTAGCTTACACATTATCAGCTATCTGGGGCAGATAAATTATTGAAATTGTCCAATAGAATGGACTATATCTTTCTCGGCAAATGTTATAATATGATATGATCAGTTAACAAATACAACCTTGTCACGAGTACATCAAGTGTTTTTATTACTACGTTAAGATATTTTGGTTCAATCTTTTGGCAGAGTAATTTCGAAAACATACATAGCAATATTATAATAAATGAACTTGAACGTATTACTCTTAACTTTCTCGTATTGCTGTATGGCAGTGATAGTCTGCTAGCATTAGCCAAACACTGCACCAAAATTGTTTAACTTTTTAAGAAAGGAGAAGAAGTTCAATCATTTGTCAGTATTTTGAGTTCTGCTTAAATTTCCAAGGGCCGAATAACCTTATTGCCTCCGATGATGACATCACCGACATAATTGTTTTTCATTACTTGTCTTAGTATTACACAGGCTTTCGTAGAATACAGTGTAGTCTGTAATAATAAATGAAAAGTACCGACGAGCTGTGCAGATAGTGACATTGCTGGATAATGGAGTAAGTGATCGAGATGTGGCAATACAATTAAATATTAATCGTTCGACTATGCAAACAACAACAGCGAGAGAAGATCGCTGAATTTGCAGTTCATCTAAGTTCATAATAAGGCGACAGAAAAGCTGACCAATGTTGCCAGTGCCAGTGATCAATCACCTCGAACTTCGTTTGAGGTACACACGGTTTTCGTTCCGACTGGCAGAGGCGCGTTAATAGCATGATGATACATAGCAGAGATCAACATAATATAGCAACAAAATATTATCCGCAAACAGTCATATGCCAGCTATTACTACCATCACTGGATTTAAAGTGCGAAACAAATCAAATTTATCACATTTCACAACATGGTTTTTATCTAAAAATTTAAAAATAATGAATGAAAATGACATGTATTAATAAAAATTGTTCATAATACATTACTATGACATAGACCTCATAGTATGTTCTGAAATTGAAAACCAGAAACCTTCCGAATTTTTTAGAAGTATATTAAACAAGATAAGTGGTTCCAGATCATCAGTCAAAATCTTCTTCTGAAATTTAATAAAAGAAGACTTCCACACACACGATATCTATAGCTTTATCCGTTTCGGGTAAAAAACACGTTATTGAGTTACTATTGAGACTTCTTCACACTGTACAAGCAAATTTTCAACTTTTCGCAAAGATTAGTTGTTTAGCTCAAAGTAAGCTTTAGTATTTCTCCGAAAACCTTACGTTTTACGACTTCTTCATCGTGCTGCTGAGACCCGAAACAGTTCGAAAGCGAGGCGAGCATACTGAGTTACAAAACGTTGTCTTTCTTTAAAGTTCTACCCAATTTGTCATCAAAAATCGGGATTCGAACGGAATAAGCAAGCTCATCAAATTCGGTTTTTTCGAACGTCTTTCGATAGACATGATGTTCGAGACATCAAAACAAATAGCTATCTTAAAGGAAGTTAAGGAAGACTTTGTACAGTTAAATTTATGATACCGTGGACCGAGACTACTACCCTTACTAGGAGCCGTTGATTGCCGGTTGATATCCTTCTTCCTTCCTTAATGCTTATTTCTAACCGGTATGTAAATGAATTTTGGACATTATATCCTTGGTGCCGTCGATTAACATTTTAATAAAATCTTTTTGTTGTAAAGATTAAAAGATATATTTGCCGTTTTTATCTGGAAGAAATTTTTACCTAATTTGTAGAAAATTAAAGAACAATATTAATAACAAAAAGTATTATTAACATGTTCGAAATGATGTCCTTCTTGATTAATATACATTAACCGGTGTCTAAATGAATTTTGAACATTATTTCCTAGGTGCGGCCGATTGATTTCTTCAAAGGCGGCAATGATATGTTGCTCAGTATCTTCTCGCGTTGTTCTTACTGTTTGGTAAGCAATTTCTTTCATCGTGTCCCACACGAAGAAATCCATCCAAAAATCTCGGAAATGTTCTCCGTTCAGGTGTGACTCTATTCGGAAATTTTTCCGAATAATTCTGTGATGCTAAGCAAGCGTTGAGCCTTGCTACGCCGTAAATTAAAATCATGTCCGTTTTTTCGAACACTAAGTGGTTTGCAGAACTTCAATATCAACTCTAGGAAAATCACACGTAAATTCAACCAAAGAATTAAAAGCACGTCAACATTACACCGTCGCAGGCAGGAAAAGAAAATAATAACTCCTCGCAACATAATTTTTGTCTTATTTTCTTCGCGCAATTGTTACAATTTACAAAACAATCTCTTGGCATAACATTTTTAATAAACATTTTATTAAATTGATTACATTTATATAGATACCTTAATATTAAATTGAAAAACTATATTCATTATAAAAAAAGAATTTATTTCACATAGTCATCACCTGGTTAAGCAGGGTGGCTTAATACATATCGAATTTGGAATTTCTATCTTGAAATTTAGACGTCAAAAGAGCCTATACCATAACCGATAGGACATCTGCTACTAGGAAGCAATACTTGCTGCTATAAACGAATCAGAGGTGAGAATTAGGATAAACGGTGTCAACGTGTATAATCTTCGTTAAGCCGGGTTTTCATTAGTAGAATTAGTGGTAGAGTATATTGGGTAAGTACTATCTTGTGAACGCGTCTAATGAAAACGTAAGTGGTCGAGTAGAGCAATTGGTTGTAGTAGAGTAGAGTAGTATAGTACCGTGGTAAAGTTACTCTACCACTTGCGGTCCCCTTAAAAGTACCCTACTTACTCTACCACTAATTCTACTAATGAAAATTCGGTATTACGCTGACGACACGATAGTGCTTGCCAAGAATATGAGTGACTTGCAGAAACTTATGAACCAACTGCAAGATTACAGCGCACGATTTGCTCTTCAAGTAGAAATCGGTGTTCTTTATGAATCAAAAAGCTGGACATTGAGCCCATTGCTAGGGAAAAAGAGATGCTTTCATTTTCATGTTCATGTTCCTGTATCGTCTCATCTTGATAATGGAACGGACAGAGAAGATGGAAGATGGTGGAAGTGCTAGAGCGTATGAAATTAGCACCTTACAATTATGTTGACATTATACTTTTTATACGTTATACTTTTTTATAGAATTATAATTTGTATGCCTTGAAAAAAATTGGATGATAAATTTCTTTAAAGAAATCTACCCCATCAAGATTTTCCTTTCCTTCCGACGTAAACATTAAATAATATCGAGCGCTCTATTTACATTTTCGCTGACGCACCGCCCCCGCTTTTATGCCGGCGATGGAAAGAGAAAGAAAGAGAGATATCGAACAACAATAAAATTCGATCCCCGCACAATGGGCCTTAATATCCTACGATAAATATACCTGAATGCCTCCTTTGTATCTCCCCTGTCTTAAGCTCAATTTTACTTGAATGGAGTGACAGCGACGGTTTAAATACCAACTCCGAAAAAGAGAGAACGAGAAATTGCAGCACAGTTAAAGCGCGTACATGACGCGTCATAAGTAAATCTACTTATATATTTTTTTTTTGGAATACATCTTCAAATAATATTCCTATTCTTTTTTTTTCTTAAAGCTTTGACAGCGCATCCACGCCTTAACGGCTGCCCTTACAACCCTCGAGAACACGCATAAATAACGTTACAAGGATATCGGTATGCAAACAGGAATCATGATTGATGCCGTGGTTGTAGAATGGCCTCGTGAGAGGAACGCAACTGGTATGTATTACATTATCGACATGTCATATACGTAGCTTTACGTTTATATCGTTGATCATTAAAAATAGATTTTGATTTTGTAATCACTTTCGTGGCCATACTGAAGCGACTCGTTCCTATCTGTAGCCGGAGACAGACTACTGTATTGTCATTGGATCTGAAGAGCTTTGTAAACACATCTAGTTTAGTGTATTTGCTAACTGTCAGATAGTTACACGGCCTCTCTCATTCGAAAGGGAAAGAGGTGGAGTTACTGCGGCAACTTTCTATTTGACGAGGGGGGAATCCGCATTTAAATTTTGCATTGTTTCCGGATAATTTATACTCCATTTTCAAATGTAAAATTTTATTGTTAAATGTATCGATTTTCTGAAAATTCGATTCAAGTCATATGAAATTGTTATAGATCTTATGACAAAACGATTGAGAAACAGATGCCGACGGATCACCGATGACAGTGTTTATTTAAGACCACCCCATTTTTCCGGGGTTCCTATTTACTGGAACGGACCGGGACACAGGGGCATTTACAAAATAAATATTTATTCAAGACGTACGTGTAGCATAGCGTCCGGACATGTATAGAATCGATACAATGGCCGCGCTTCGTGAATAGGGTAGGTGAGAGACTAGAAATATTCTCAACTTCGAAATTACATTCGATGACGTGCTAATGATGTTTGT